ACGGATCGAATATGAATGTTATAAGTGTGGATAGTATTATTTTGATTGTAGAAGTAATGTTACCTTTAATCATATAAAATCACAAAAATATTACTAAAATTAGTACCTTGAAACTGGTCCATTTTTCAAAGGCAGATAGGTTGGCACTAGTGGCCACAATAAGGGTAGCAGCAAGGATGAACAGCTTCATTCTGATCTTTCTGTAAACATTAATTCGAAGTATTTAGTAAATATATAAAAAAATAATTTTATAAATAATTTCAAATGTAACCATATCATGTCTCAACACACACCTGGATGTAGAATAGGTGTTAAAACAAGTTGTATAGTTTCTCGAAGTCTCAATTAGTCCAAACTTTGTAATACAAATATTTAGCCAGGAATCTTTATATAATATTTTTTTATACTCATAAATAATAAAGCAATTTTATTTAATAACATATATACAGTAGTATATTAAAAAAATGAATATTACAAGCTTAAAAGGTTTATTTACGATTAGAACTGAATGGCAAGAACAAAAACTCCAAATGGAAGATATTTTTTAATTCGATATATATCACAATGAAGACATTGCCAATTTCATCGGTTCAATAATGTTTTAAAACACACAAGAAATAAATAAAATACCTCGATATGATAAAGAGGCGAATTAAAAGAAAGTGCCTTAATTATTAAAGCACAATAAATAGGAAAACAGATAACTGAACTCATATAAATAATATTTAATTAGGAATGATCTTAATGTATGTAGAATGTGTATTTAAAAATTGCAAAGAACATAATGCTTATTTATAAGTAACAACATGTTTTTAAAGATTAAGACAATATAATATATTAAAGAAAAAGAGAGAGAAAGTGTTGAAATAATAGAATGAGAAAAATACCTTACCTTCTTAAGAACAACAGAATACAACTTGTAGATACTGGTAAAGGATACAACTTTTATACTAAATTTTTAATCTTGGTCCTCTTGATATACGGAAACAAAAAAATTTGCGTACAATAAGATATTAAAATAAAATTATGAAATTTTGAGTGTCGCCGGGAAATACACGATATTGAAAAAGCGTCTTTTTTTTGTCTAATCTTTTTAAGAATGATTGTATGACAACAAGATGATTGTGCTCTCAAGGTATATAGCAATCTTTTTAGCAATAACTTAACCCACGAAATAGTTACCATCAGGTTAGATTTCAGACAAAATTAAAACATTATTTCTTTACTATTTTAACCTGTCCCACCAAATTCTATCTTTTACCTTTTTCCATTTTGCTGTCGAAGTCTCTTGAAATAAATGTCTTTTTATCATCTATAAGATTATTTGTTCCACAAATATTTTTGAAGCTTAATTTGCAGGTATATGGCCATTTTTTTAGCAATAACCTATACCAAGAACAGTTTTATTAGCAACAAGATAGCATTGTAAAGAAAAATGAAAAAGTATCATTCCACGATTACTTCTTTCTCCAAGGCCATGATCTCCGACATCCCAAGTGTCCGAAAATAAAGGTTTTCTTTTTATTATCCAGTAGATTATTTTTCCATCCATATAATAGCTTAACTTAATTTGCATACTCTTTTTTACTGTACATACTTTTTTTCTTCACTGCCATATCAAAATTATCCGACTTTGGCCATTACCACTGCGATGGCTTCTCGATCTTCTGCCACATGGGATAATTGTCCTACATTTGATATCTCAGCCCATTCACGAACTTTTTTTATTTAAGAAACCTGTTTTCTTCGTACTCCTCTACGGCCTTTACGTTTTGCCTTTAATTGTCATCAGTTGTAGTATTCTATATTTATTTCTTCTCAATATATGTCCCAGATAAGACACGTTTCAGTATTTAACAATTTTTGTCTATTCTCTATCTTTGTTGTCCCTTCTTAATACTTCCTTATTAATGTTTCTTGCTGTTTAAGGTATCTTCAGTATCCGTTCATAAAATCACATTTCCATTGCTTCAATTCTGTTAATTCTTAATAGTTTTAGTGTCCACACTTCTGCACCATACAAAAGTGCAGGCCAAATATAGCAATGAACCATTATTTGTCTTAGTTCTTAACTGAGATAATTATTGCAAAGAAATGTCTTTTCATAAATTTTCGTAAAAGTAATTTTGGTCATTTCTGTTCTGCGTTTTATTTTTATATCTGAATCTTGCTGGTCCATTATGATAGTTTCCAAATATGTAATTTTGTAAACTTTTTCAACTTGAACTCTTGAATTGAATTGAAGCTTGCATAAGGATGTGGGTTACGATTAAAGACTAAAAAATTGGTGTTGTTTGAGTTCATTTTAACGCCCATTTTTTCTCCTACGTAGTGAATACGCTTAAGGAGAATTTGGAAACCATATTTTCTAATAAAATATTATATCGTTCCGCGTCCCTAATTATATTAAGTAGTTTTCGAATTTATAAAATAGTCATTAGACCAATAATGACATACGTCGCAGAAACAAGACCTATCACAGAGAGGACAAAAAGGATGTTAGAAACAGCAGAGATGAAAACGCTTGGAAAAATTGATAGTAAAAGACTATGGGACAGAGCTAGATGTACAGATATACGACAGATGCAAGGTGGAGAACATTAAAAACTGGGTAAGAAATAGAAGAGTAGAATGGAACGACCATATAAGCCGAATAGCAACAAATAGAGTAGTAAAGACGAAAAGAGACGGTTCCCCAATAGGAAGACGATCAGTAGGAAGACCACGAAAACGATGCAATGACAACTTACTGGAGGCACATTGAAAAACAGACAGAGTCATGTCTAAATAAAAATAAGAAAAATAAGAAGAAGAAGAGTAAAATGTTGAACAATATTGAGGACAAAATGTAACTTTGTCTGACTCCGTGTTGTATGGAGATTTTGTTGGTGTAGTGGTCTCCAAATTTTAGGATAGCAGTTTGTTATTCTTAAATTAATAGTCAAGTGCTTAGTTGGAAATCTAGAAACAAGAGATATTCTTATTTAAAATACTGCTTCGTAAATGATCTTACATTATATTACAATATTATGTTACAATATTATAAAATATTACAACTGGTCCTTAAAGGCAAAATAGAGGGCCGTAGAGGTGTATTAAGAAAACAGTTTCTTGGTTAAAAAACATTCGTTGAATGGACTCAGATGCCAAATGCAGCACAATTATTCCATATTGCAGAAGATCGAGAAGCCTTCACAATTCTGATACGGCACGCGAAGAAGAAGATATGATCTTACAGTAACACTTCTTTAATTGTTCCCAATATATTTACTTCGATGCTTTTTATTGTTTAATGTATATCTATTGCATGGGCAGATTAAAACATCAATAGAATTTGTCACTCCACTCTTTATGTGATCGACCGATACTTTTTGTGCCGTTTTGTGATTTATCTATTGCTATTTTGACCGCTCTAGTTTCCTTTGTTCTAGTCATGTGACTATTCCTCTTTTTTTCTGTTTCTGTTACATTGATGCTATCTTTACTTCTCCATCGATCTCTCTATATTTTTGCAAATCTTCTCTTATCTTTCACATCCTTAATTTCTTGTAGTCTTTGTGTAGTGACATTCGAAAAATCTAGATCAAGCCCTCGAGATCATGCTGAACTTTTAGCAAAAAAATTCACTTAAACCTATCTCAGCTGACGCAAGTAAATTCCTTTTATCTCCACATTCGTTGAGCAAAAGGAAGCTCTACGTATGATGGGATAGTGTCATTCTTGAATATGCTAAAAAATCAATTTAGTTAGAAGTTCAATCAACGCGAGAATAAACGACGTAAAGTGGGAGCCAGAAACAACATCCTTAGAAAACTCGCCAATAGCAAGAACTGAGAAGTACTACCCACGCTTTCTGCTATTCTTCAGCAGAGTATGCCTGTCTGATTTGGTCCAAAACGATCCACGCCAGGAGACTCAACTTCATCCTAAATAAAACGTGCATGGTATCAACAGGCTATATGAACGAACTTCATAGGTTCGCCGGCTTTTCGAGCTCCAATAGCTACAGAAAAGCTCACAATTTTATAGAACGGAACAAAAAGATAATTGATAAAGGCCACCTCTCTATGCAGCTGGCATAGATGGATGTGACCGTAGATAGGCCATCTAGAACGCTGGTCCAGAAGATGCCTGATAGTGCGAATTACAAGTGACCAGTATGCAGAGCACAGAACCGAATAAGACCCGTGGTTCGAACTAGATACTAATGCAAATTTGGTGACATACAGAACATGGACATATTCTGACTTACTAAACAACTCAAATACCTGCAAGCTCGACTATTTATGGTTCTACAAGCAAAAACAGTCCAATATTGGACCGAAAACCTCAAAATTCCTGAAAGAAAAAGTAAGTTTCCTAACATAATTCGACGTGTTTTATCTTTTTAAACTCCAGTCACATGCTATTGTTAATTTTTCTTTTACCATTTACTTTAAAATGTATCTGAATTCTACTTATACCTGAGGCAGATAAGATTAAAATATTAGAAAAATGATTTTGTTTCTATGCCCAAGTAACGAACGATTGCCGTCGTCAAAGTCGAAATGTTAAGTAATGTAGTACTTATAATTTCAATTAATATTATGCTTTATTATCATTAAATGTAGTTAGCTAATTCGTTTTAATGCTGTAATATAGGTAATATTAAAAAATTGTGTTTATAAAAAACAACCTTATTTGTACGTTGATTGTATTGAACAAATATACTAATTGAAAGGTATTTTAAAAAGTATATTTTTAATGTTTTATTTCTATCAACAATAATATATTTAAAACTATATTTTATAATGTATTCTATAATATATTCTATATTCTATATATAAATAATATATTCTGTGTTTATACGTCCATGATTTAAAACAACTTAAACACCTCGAAAATGACACTTCTAAACGACATGAGAAAACTCAATATTATGACATCTATATTTAGCTTAAAGTGTTTACTAAAAATCAAGTCTCACATCACTGTCAAAATGACAGTCCTCTGTAGTAAACGTCATTTCTAATAATATTAGAGCGTGTTCTGTTACTACATAGTTGCGAGTTAATATTGTTGTCTTATTAATTTGAATACTTAAATTATAATATGGAGTCAGACGAGGATTGTGTAAAGAGAGAAATATTGTTGGAAAAAGCAAAACGCCGGCAGGAATTGCGAGAGCATTTTCTGAAAATGAAAACTAATCCCTTTAAACATTTGTTAGGTGAAGGAGGATCCGTGGTAAGTAGTCATTTCTAAAATTAAATTACGGTTGATAATATTGTAATATTTAGTGTATATAGTATACATTTTTAAAGTAATCAAAAAGTTAAAATTCTTATACTACTGATACATTGATTTAACAGAACAATTTTAGTTAAGCAATACTTTTTAACACATCTCGAGTATCTTTATGATTTTATAAATAAGACATTGGACTAATTACTTGACAATCTTGAAGATGATTTATATGATATATTGATACGCAAAGAGAAACTAGGAGATGTTTAGTGCCAAAGTGCCAAAAGAAATAGGATAATGTATCATTGAGTTATCTAAGGATAGGAAACTTGTAAACGTTTAATAGTTCCATTCCAAATTGATATCCATTTGTGTGCTACTATATGTTTTTGTTAAGTAATTTTTTACTTTTATTTTATTTAGAAAATCGCATCGACCAAATGGCCATTACCTAAAAATTATTGGATTACATTAGATACAATTACTGCATTAAAATTTGGTTTATTAAATACTTATTGTGGTACTTATTAATGTTTTTCAAGAAATTCAGAGTATTGTTAAAGTTACAGTCTACACCCAGGCCAGAGAGCTTTTAAAAGTGTTCCTGGTATCTTGTTATCATCATCATCTTTGGCTTGACAATCCTCTGTGGATCTTGGCCTGCTCTAAGTTTCGTCACCATTCTGTTCGTTTTTGGCAACATGTTTGCCATCTTCTGATTTTTAATATTCGTAAGTCGGTTTCTACTCCATCTAACCACCTAATTCGCGGTCGGCCCTTGCTTCTTGTTCCTACAGGTGTTCCTGTGGTTAGCTTTTTAGCAATGGTATTTTCTGGCATTCGTATTATGTGTCCAGCCCATCTAAGTCACTGTGTTTTAATGAACGTTATGACATCTGGCTCATCAAAGAGCTGATACAATTCAAAATTATATATTTTGCGCCACTGTCCTTGGTCGTTTACAGCTCCAAATATTTTGCGGAGTATTTTACGCTCAAATATTCCCAAAAGTCTTTCATCTTTTCTGCGTTAGAGTCCATGTTTCTGCTCCATATGTGAGAGACCGGCCTCAGCAATGTTTTTGTATATAATAATTTTAGTTTTTCTTTGAATGTTTCTTGAGTGGAAATGCTTTTGGAGTCCATAGTATGCCCTATTTGTAAGATTTATTCGTCTTTTGATTTCTTCGCTTGTTTTATTGGTAGCTGTCAATAGCGACCCAAGTATGTGAAGTTGTCAACACGTCCAAAGGTATGACTTCCAAAGACTGTTTCCCGTTCCTCATTTGCCTGGTATCTTGTTACTTCGTTGTTAATTGTATAGGGGGCATTCACATTGTATGTGCATTATTGTTAGTGTTGTATTACACGTTTCACATCGCGCGGTGGTTCGCACTTTTTAATTAAGTAATCACGCGTAAATCTAGTATGTCCGAGTCTGAGGCGCGTTACTATTATTTCTTGGCCTCTTGAAGTAGGTAATACATTCCATGTCTCTATGTTAGGTTTCACTTGTTTTAATTTTGAATTCGACACATTCCATTTATTTTTCCACGCACTTATTGATTTTTTTTATATAAGCTACTATATCCGTTAATATCGATGTGTTTTACGATTTCGGAAATGTCACTCACTATCGCGTCTTTCGGACTATGGTCATCAGTTTCGTTGCCTTTTATTCCTATATGCGATTGAATCCAGATGACATTTATCTCATTACGATTGATATAAGCCTGAATGAAGAACCGTTTTATTATTTTTTTAAAGCGGGTTTTTTAGATACAGTTGTCGGATGCTTTGTATGGGTCTGTTAAGATAATAAGTTTGCAGTTTGTTGTCAGATTGATTAGTTCTGTGGCGCGTTAGAGAGCATTACAGTTCAGATATATAGATAGTAATAACGTTAGACAGTTTGAATTTTAAGGACCTTCTCTGGAGTTACTACAGATGCTCCCACACCTTTGGATGATTTTGAACCATCAGTGTATATCTGTGTATAATTTTTATAACGACTAAGGATTTTTCTAAAATGGGAAATAATTAAATCATGATTAGTGGAGTTTTTGTCAAATGACGTAAGTTCAAAGTTATATGATGGTATGATTTGAATCCAAGGTAAATTATGGTTATATGTGTATGGAAGATATTCAGGTATGACCATATCAAACATATGTAAATGGTCTTTTATTATTTTATATAACGGTTTAACAGAACAGTGATTTGCATTGAAGTTTGGGAAATTATCAATAAAAAGTATTTCTATAGACAGGATTTTTTTGCATTATCCTTAATTTTTGTTGCATGCGTTAGACTAAGGTAAGCTCTTCTATCATTTAACGATAATTCATTTACTTCGCAAAGTAAACTTTCACAATCGGTGTTGTACAAAAGGCTCAAAGACATATTCTGAGTGCTGTGTTGGTGAATAGTGTCGAGTTTTTCAAGTACTGATTTCGATGATAAGTAATAAGCTATAGCAGCGTAGTCTAGCTGTGATCGTATAATAGTTCTGTATGTAATTAACAATGTACTCCTGTCTGAACACCAATTCTTGTCTGATAGAATTTTTAAAATATAATCTTCTTTAACATTTACACGTTAGATTATTGATATGTTTTTTCCAATTGAAACTTTCTGTCTAAAAGTAACTCCTAGCAATTTTAGCGAATCTTATTGTTGTATTGACTGGTTATATAGATATAATGAGATTGGTGTACTTACTTTATTTTTTAGAAAATAGTATATATTTAGTTTTTAATTTTTTATTCTTATTATTATTGGACCTAATTTATTACTATCCATTTATTACCAACCATTATCTGAAACGATCACCTTAATGCAATAACTAAATATCAATAATTAATAATTTAAACATTGCAATAAGTAACTAAATAAAGCCCATGAGGTCCTGTTGGGTTTACCGCCTCTATAATGTTGTAGAGTAAGAAACCAACAAGGGCAACTACTATCTCAATTGCTAACCGGTCGGTCATTGTGACATTTGACGAGAGCTGCAGGTTAGTATCCTGTGTTTTTCTGGTACAGGATAGCATTGCATCTTAGTTTTAGTTCACGCTCTGCTTCTCGATTTACTTTTCTAAGTGGAAGGAGAACCAACGCTGCTTCATAGGAGTTGGCTGATCAATTAAATAGATGAGGACACGCGCATCTCGCTTCCTGTGCATCAGTCCTTTAAACTGAGATCTTTGTCTCGTTTTCCTTTTTTAATGCGTCTAAGACTGATTGATACCTATAGTCTACCATAGACATGGACATCTTCGACATGGAGACCTATTATAAAAAAAAAATATCGTTTGCTCCACCCCTCAATGAAAATTTAATGTCAGAAATTTTCGCGCGAACACTTTGCGCTAATCATCACGCCGACCCACGCGGCAATCCCCGAGTAAATCCCCACGCTAATCTCCACGCTAACCACCACGCCAACCTTCACCCAAACTGTCACTATCGAAGGTATAAATGAACCGTCCTCTGTTCCCAGTAGCAGTAATGCTTTGGTTAGTGATCAGTGTAGTAGTGTCTGGAGGTTAGGAGACTGCGACCTCGGAAGCTTTGAAAAAACATCAAAGGGGATGTCATAAACTTGGCGCAATAATTATCGACGCAGTTTAACCCAGAAAACTGTTGAGTTTAATATTAATTCTTGTAATAGTATTAATCTTAGCTCTAGGTTTAATTGTACTAACCGCGGAAATCTTTCGGAAATATATGTATAATTAAACCTAAAGTTAAGAATAATACTATTAAAAGAATTAATATTAAACACAACAAACAGTATTCCAGGTTGAACCACGTCGATTATCATTGCTCCGAGCTTTCGACATCCTCTTCGATGACTTTTTCAGAGCTTCCGAGGTCTCAGTCTTTCGAACCCCCAGACACTACTACATCATCATCATCATCATCACACAGCCAATTTGTCCACTGTCGAACATAGGCCTCCTCAAGATGTCTTACTCTTCCCTGTCCTGTGCAGCTGCGATCCAGTTTGTCACTATTCTTTTAATGTCGTCCGTCCATCTGGTAGGTGGTCTTCCACGATTTCGCTTGTCTGCCTTGGCCGCCATTCTAAATCTTCTTTGTCTATCTGTTGTCTCTCTGTCTTGCGACGTGTCTTGGCCATTTCCACTTCAACTTCGTAATCCGTTTTATGACGTCTTTCACTCCAGTTCTTCGCCGTATTTCATCATTTCGTATTCGGTCTCTCAAAGTTACGCCAAGCGTAGATCTTTCCATTTTTCGTTGTGCTACTTGTAACTTTTTTATTGATCAATGTCAGTGTTTCAGCTCCATAAGTGAGCACCGGAAGTACGCACTGGTTAAATGCTTTTCTCTTTAGCTTTATTGGGATGTTTTCCTTAAACACGTCTTTTAGCTTGCCATAGGCTGCCCATCCTAAAGCTATTCTTCTAGATAATTCGCATGTTTGGTTGTCTCTACTTATTTGTATTTCGTGACCCAGATATATGTATTTGTCAGCCGTTTCAATATGCCAGTTTTCTAGTTTCAATGGTCCACTAGGTACTAAGTTGGTCATCATTTTTAGTTTTCGCAAAGTTTATTTCCAGCCCTACTTTTTGGGAGACCCGTTGTAAATCTTGTAGCATTTCGTTGGCCTCCTTTAAGTCGTCGGTTATTAGAACTATGTCATCTGCAAATCGTAGGTGGTTCAGCCTTTCGCCATCGACACTCAAACCTCTGTTTTCCCATTCTAACATCTGGAATGCATGCTGCATTACGGCATTGAATAGTTTTGGTGACATGTTGTCTCTTTGTCTAACTCCCTTTTTAGTTTTATTTTTTGAGTAGGGGTGTGGAGGTTTATTGCTGTTGTGGCATTTGCATATATATGTTGAATAATGCTGGTATATCGGTAGTCGATTCTACAATCTCTCAAAGCTCTTAAGATAGCTACCATCTCGATAGTGTTAAAGGCTTTTTTATAGTCAACAAATACTAGAACTAGTGATCGGTTGTACTCTATAGTTTTTTTAATTAGGGCCTTTAGACAAGTTAGATGGTCATTTGTAATATACCCAGGGCGGAAACCTGCTGTTCTCTTGGTTGGCATGTTTCTAGTTTGTTCTCAATTCTGGCAGTGATAATTCGAGCAAATAATTTATACAGGTGACTTAGAAGACTGATTGGCCTATAGTTTTCGAGGTCTGTTTGATCTCCTTTCTTATGCATGAGGAGCGTTATAGAATTATTCCATTCAGACACTACTACACTGATCAATAATCAGTGCATTACTTTTGCTGAGAATAGAGTACGGGTCATTTATACCGTCGATTGTGACGTGGCTTGAGTTGAGGTTGGCGTAAGGACCAGCGTAGTTATTAGTGCAGGGGTTGGCGTCAACATCTCTGACAGTAGGATTTTGAACCACTGGTGGAGCGGACGGTACTTTCTTTATAAGAGGTCTTTAAGTCGAAGGTAACCGTATGCCGTTATCTCTTTTATTGAGACAAATGAGTATATAAATTGGTATCAACCAATCAACAAACATAAGCTACAAAACGCGATACCTATTTTGATGGCCTTAAACAAAAACGATTTACCACTATCGCTTTTTGTCTTTTTGAGCTGCACTAAATTTGTAAGAGATGTGATTTCAGCAAGATCTTATATATGACTTTTAGGAATAAAGATAAGTCGATATGGCTAACTTACCAACATGTTAAAAGTGCACCAGGAAAAAGTTACGGGGTGCTCCAAAATCGTTTAATACTTTTTTATGAATATTTATATTATGGGTTATCATGCCATGGCCAATGTTTTAGATATTTAGAGATGTGTTCATACCTGTCCCTCAAATTTTTGTAGTATAATCTTGGATTAAAAACAGAACGTTAATGTAATCAAATACGTATTTCACACCTGTTTGTCTGTTTGTATTTGTAAAATCAATGATTTAGAACATCTAGAGAAGCCAAATCGACTTATTTTCATCCCTAAAAGGAATTTATGACCAATATTTGTGTAAAACCAAGCAAGCAAGTAAGTAATTTAATTAAACCCAGCCCGTATGATACGTTTACCCTTAAGAATTACGTCTGCACCGCGCTCCAAACCTCCCCCCCCCCCCCTATAGCATTCTGATGCGCGTTAGGTGCACAACTATTACCCAATTGCTCTTTATGTGGGAGTTTTGGGTAATAGAACTCCAATATGGTTTCCTAACCGAAATCAAACTCAGGACAGCGCATTGTCGCTATGATCCCCTTATCTTAATGTGGCTTATCCGCGAACTACGAATTGCTTACTTGAGCCTTAAGTCTCCGTTCTTAGCTAGGCTCAATCCGGAGACTTGGTGCTCAAGCGGTTGGGCCCTACGTGCTCGGGCTTGTTAAAGGTTTTTGTTAATATATTTTTTTGTGGCTTGTGCCAGTTTTTGTTGGTAGTTTTTTTATTTTTTTGGTGGGCGAAGCCGCTTTTTGTGTTTTTTTTAATTTTTTTTTGTAGATGCCGAAAACAAAAAATCAGATTAATGTAATAATTATCAACTTAAAATTAACTGGGTCTACGCTGTACGTTGCGATTGTCAATGAGTTTTTTGAGCTACGAACTATCTTCTTTGTGAGTTGTTATCGTTGTTTTTTGTAGTGTTTTCTCTCAGGTGTTTTGTTTTTTTTCTGGTGTATTTATTGATTTTCTCTCTAATACGTTTGATTTTATTCTACTATTTGTTGTTTGGGTCTTTTGTGCTTCCATCTGTGGAAAGCGTCGTACTTGTGATCTCTCGCAATATGTGACTTGGTGTCTTGGATGATTCTTTATCTCCGCGAACTGTGTCCTTGCTTTTTCCTTCATTATATCAGTCACTCTAATTTGTTGCAATTCTCTGAAGAGGAATCTTTCTGCAACGTATCTCGGTACGTTGACTGATTCTCTTAGGCTGCTGTTATGTGCCGCTTGTATTTTCTTTTTTGTTGTGTTGCATGTGTTTCCCATGCCAGAGATGCATATGTTAGTATAGGAACTATTTCATTCTTAGTTTGCCTTTTCTTCCTGCTAGGCCTCTTATTGATGCTTTTGTCATGTTAGCTTTGTGTATTGTAGCATTTACGTGTTTACTCAACGTTAAGCCTTTGTCCATGATTACTTCAAGATATTTTGCTTCGCTTTTCTACTCCATGAGATTGTTTTGCACAGTCACTTGTTCTTCTGGTTGTCGGTGCATCTTTTTGAAAAGTACAGTTTGTGTCTTTTTGGAGTTAATAGCGGTTTTTCATTTTAAGCTCCAATCTTCATTGTCATCTAGCGCTGTTTGTTGTTTACCGCTATGTCTACGTTTCTATGTTTGGCAGCTATCGCTGTGTCGTCGGCATAGGGTCTTAGTAATGCACCTGTTGTTCTAGGTATGTGTGCTGCATGTACTGTGTCTAGTAAAGGTCTCAGTAACGCTTCCTGTGGCACTCCAGCCTCCGGGTTCCCGAGTGTGGATAGGACAAACTCTGAAACTACAATTGCTCAAGTATGAAGAGATTAGTCTTTCCATTGCTTCGCTGTACCCATAGCTTCTCATTTTGTAGATCAGCTTTTATGCCAGACTCTGTTGAAAGCTTTGCTTACATCTAAGAAGGCAGCTCCTGTATAGCAGGTAACAAGCTCATTGGCCTGTAGTTTTGCGGAAATATGTTGTCTTTTCTGGGCTTTATAACATTATGACATGGGCCTCTTTCCATCTGTTTAGAAATTTCTTGAATCTCAGCATTGTATTAATTATATTTGTTAAATATTAAATTTAAATTTCTGTGAAACCCTTTGTATGTAGATATATAAATGCCAGCTTATTATAATAATAAAATGATGGACATACCTGAACTCATTAGACGACAAATATTGTCAAATGGAAATGTAACGTAAATCTAAACAATACTTCAAGAATCATCGAAAATATGGAGTATTTTTTAACTATTTTCACGGATGTTTAAAAACTAAGTGGTAAGACGAAATGAAAAAAACAAACAAAAAGTTAGGATTTTTTATTAAAATTCATTTGTACACATCTCTTTTCAGTCTGTATGCTTGAGATTTTGAAGTTTTTACAATTCAAACTCTGTTTTTTTTAATATTGTATACGATACGGTGTGCACACAGGTTAGGTACACATTTCAGCAATATAAATATAAGTAATATGTACAAAACTCTTGATTGTTTTAACCTATTAATTCTAAAATAGTTTACACTAGCGGATAACTAGCTTGAATGGCAATACCACATTGGTTATTATTTTCCTTAGCTATCTTTACATATCCTCCTATACCCCAGTTGGGACCGTATGAATTTTTCACCAGCCAGTATTTTCTACCGTCGGCTTCTTGACCGTATCCGACTACTAGAACTGCGTGGTTCATTTGTTCGGGTGTATTTCCGCAAGCTGGATCATCGTATATTCCCTCTGAGTAAAACTGGAAAGTCTCCTTACCGGCATCGATTGCAGCTGTAACTGGACCTAAAGTTGCTAGAGCAATTTCCAAACCTTTTTCGTCGTTCTCTCCTATGTCCACAAAACCTACAAAAGAAAATACACGATTGAATAAATCTCTAGTAATAAAAATTAATAGACGAAATCGACGAAAAAACGAATGCACCAAAATATTATATTAACATAACATTATTTTGTTGTTGTTTGTTATTATCAGGAGAAAGTTTGTATAAAAGAGTAATAAAGATTAACTAAACAAATGTTGTCTAGATTTTTTTTATGTCATCCTTTAACAAAAGCACCTTTATATTGACATTTACGCATGCGCAGTTGTGCGTCTTTTATTACTTAATTCTATAAACGCCGCCTATATTTAAATTAAATACAGTTCAGAGTATTATAGTAAAGTATAGCAGAATATAATGAATATTGTTTTTAATTCAATTAGTAAATCTTCAATATTATTTTTTTACGTTATAATATCTATAAGTATTTCTAACAACTCTATTTATTCATCATTTTTTTTTTTTTTATTAAGTAAACCGCGTCAACCATGAAAGGTTATTGGCGGGAAAGAGTTGTACATGAAATTAGATGTTTGCTTATAACTATCATTTACAATTGATAACTTAAGTCTATTTTTTATATTAGATTGTACAATTTAGTTAGTTTTAGAAACTTAGACACTTTATCATAGTTACTATAGTTCAGAGCACATTTCAGATCACTTGGTAAATCACTTTGAAGTCGTTCCAGATGATAGAGTGGACAACTAACAATAATGTGTTCGATTGTCAGAGGAATATCACAAACATAGCACAGTTTTTGTTGTTCTTTCTTCATTAGGTACTGGTGGGTTAACCTGGTATGTCCTATTCTTAAGCGATGTTGTATGACTTGATCTCGTCGTTTTTGTGGCATTATCCCTTTTGGTAACAAATCTGGGTTGATGCGTTTTAGTTTGTTGTCGTCAAGTTTTTTCCATCTCTCGAGCCATATTCTCATTGAAAATTCTTTGATGGTGTTTTTAATGTCGCAAAGAGGGATTTCTGGGAGCTCTTTATCTTGTTTATTCGTATAGCAGGCTTCTTTAGCTTCCCGATCAGCTTTTTCATTACCTATTATGCCTACATGAGATGGAATCCAAACAAATTCTACCCTTTTATTCTTACTGTAAAGTTCTTCGAGATCAATTTTAATTTGGCATAATATTGGGTGGTTTGGGTAAACCCTTAATATTTCTTGTACTGCACTTAAAGAATCTGTGAAAATGACTGCTTCCAATTTGGGCTGGTTTGATATATGTTGTAAGGCTTTAGATATGGCATACAATTCGGCGGAATATATGGAGTACTCCTTAGGTAGCTGGAACTGGTGTTTAATTGTTTCGTCAACGAAAGCTGCGCCTACCGTTTTCATTTCAGAAGTTTTTGACGCATCTGTATATATTTGGTAATATCTTTTGTACTTGTCTTTAATCGCTTGAAACCGTTGTAGAATTATATGTGATGAAGTATCAGATTTAGGAAACAGTAGAAGATTTGTATTACATGTGGGGAGTTTTATGGTCCAAGGAGGGGGGTAGTTTATTTCATTGGGAATAACTTTCGGGAAATTGAAACCTGTAATTCTTTTACTAAATGATGCAGAAAGAAAAGGTTTTTGTTCAAAAATTAAATGAAAATTGTCAGAAAATGTGTGGGAGTAAGCAGGATTATTACAGTTTGCTCCAATTTTAGCTGCATATTGTAGGCTTAGTCTGTGTCTTCTAATTGAAAGTGGTGGTTCATCAGCTTCTACATAAAGACTTTCTACTGGACTGGTTCTGTAGGCTCCAAGTGCAAGCCTTAACGCGGTATTTTGTATGATGTCCAATTGCTTTAGTAAACTATCTTTAGCTGAACTGTAGACTATTGATCCATAATCTAGCTTGCTACGAATCTGTGTTTTATATATATTAAGTAATTGTGAGGTATCTGCTCCCCAATTATGATTGGCTAATACTTTTAGAATGTTCATATTTTGCATGCAAGATTTTTTAAGTTGTTGAATGTGGGTTTTCCAAGTGAGTTTTGAATCTAATACCATTCCCAAAAATCGATGTTCTTCTACATACTGCAAATTTTGATTGTAAAGTGTTAATTTTGGCCAAATTGTTTGTTTGTTTCTTGAAAAACATATTGCTTTTGTTTTGTTTGTAGAAAAACGAAGACCTGTTCTCTCTGACCACTTTTCTAAAGCTTTGATGGACTCTTGCAGAATACTAACAGCTATTCGGCTATTTTTATTGCTTACATAAAGAACAAGGTCATCTGCATATAAACCAATTTGGACAGGAGTATTAATGTTATCAACAACTTCATTCATTGCAATCAAGAAAAGTGTTACACTAAGTGTTGATCCTTGGGGAGTTCCATTATCTTGGGTATACGAAGTTGACAAATGATTATTAAGTTTAACTCTAAAATTTCTATCATAAACAAAATTTTTGATAAAAGCTAGAAGATTTCCGTCCACACCCCATTGTTTTAATCTTTTTAGGACATCATACTTCCACATAGTATCGTAGGCTTTTACTATATCAAAGAAGACAGCCAGTACTTGGCGATTACTTGCAAATGCCTCGTGTATGACCGATTCTAGTTTAATCAAATTGTCCGTTGTACATCTGTTTTTCCTAAATCCGCTTTGTTGTTTGCATATTAAATTATTGGATTCCAGGAAGTATTGCAGACGTTTGTTAAGTATTTTTTTCTATTACTTTGCACAAGGTGGATGTTAAAGATATAGGTCGATACGAATTTGGATCCGTCTTTATTTTATTAGGTTTTAAAATAGGAATTACAATTGCTGCTTCCAAGATTTTGGAAATTGATTCGTATTGAATAAGAGATTATAGATATCTAGAAGGTATTGTTTAGCATTTGCTGGAAGATTTTTAAGGAATGCATAAGATATTTCGTCAGGTCCTGGGCTAGAATTTTTAACGTCCTGAAGTGCTTCATTTAGTTCATTTATACTTAGTGATGAGTTCAGTGGATGATTGTTATTGGTAATGATTATTTTTTGTTCTGAGTTTCTTTTATGTTCCATAAATATAGGGTCATACATAGAGTCTTTGCTGTATGTTTGAAACGAAACTGCTAAGGTATTTGTTATTTGTGCTTCATCCGATATTTGATTTCCGTTCATATTAAGAGAGTTTATCTTGTAAGCATATGAAATACCTTTAATTCTGCGGATCTTGTTCCACACTTCAGATGCGGGGGTATCATCGGTAATTGAGGATACGTATTGTTTCCATGACTCACGTTTATTCTTTTTGATTATATATCTTGCCTTAGCTCTATGTTTTTTAAAATTTACTAAGTTCTCTTCATTATGGTGTTTTTTTAATACGTTGAACGCATGTTTACTAAGTTTCAGTGCATCTTGACATTCAGCATTCCACCATGGGACCGTCTGTTTACGTTTTGGCTTGCTTGTTTTACCTATAGTTACTTCTGCAGCTTTTATAATCATTGTAGTGAATTTTTCAACAATGAAATCAATATCAGTTTCCAATGGTCCTAACTGGGGTATAGAGTTTTTGATAAAATTTTGATAGCTTGCCCAGTCTGCATTATTGATTTTCCACTTTTCTGGAAAGGATATTTCAGTATTTTTGTCTGATGCGTAGTTGGTTATTGATATAGGCCAGTGATCGCTATCATAAGTATGTTGTAGTACTTCCCAGTTTAAATTTGGAGCTAGCGAGCTTTCGCATATAGATAGATCGATAGCGGAATGTTTACCAGTAATTGAGTTAAAGCGAGTTTTTTCCCCTGAGTTAAGCAAGACAAAGTCAGTTAAGCTTAAAAATCTTTCTATGGTGTCACCTCTTTTATCTGTAGATAGACAATCCCCATGTTGTACTGTGTGCATTAAAGTCTCCTACTATTATTCTGGGTTTTGGAATTTGATCAATTAACATTTCGAGTTGTTTGGCAGTGATTTCCGTATCTGGTGGAATATATACATTGCATATAGAATATTGTGTTGAAGATTTTATTTTAACTGCCACAACCTCTAATTCTGATTGTATAGGGATTTCCTCTGATTCCAAATGTGAATTAACATAAATAGATACGCCGCCACTAGCTTTACCAGTGTTTGTTCTAATTTTATGGTAGGCCTCATATTGTTTTAACGAGTATTTTTTATTTGTTGTGAAATTTGTTTCTTGTAAGCAGATAACTTGTGGATGTGTTTCTTTAATTAAAAGCTGTAGCATTTCTATATGTGTAAATACGGATTGAATATTCCACTGAATAATAGCCATTTTGTTAACTTTTGTTTTTTTTTATTTATCGTTGGCAGGAGTATTTTCCTGTGATGCGTCAGTATCTTCAGAGGTGTCGTCCTGAATACTAAAATCTTTGCTTATTTTACTAAGTAATTTTTTCTTGATTCTTGTAATTCTAGATTTAATTGCTCTTTCGTTCAATATGGGATATATTTCAGTTAGCATATGTCCCAGCCCGTGTATATCCTGTGTGTATTCTAAGGCCAGTTCTACTGGGGTGGAAGAACCATGAACGTCTTCTAAGAATGCTAGTAATTGGGTGTAATTTAGTACATATGGTGGTGATGCATCTTGGATAAATTGTTTGGCTGGTTGTAATAACGACTCAATATTAGTAGTTTCTGAAGTAGATTGGTCTATTTTGATAATTTTTTTCTTCTTTTTAATTTGCACTGGTTTTGGTTTTGTGAATTCTGTTGGTATAGTTTCTGTAGGAGTGGAGCAAGTTGGGGATGACACTTCCGAGTAAGATCGTTTATTTTTATTATAGGTAGCAGTGCTGACTTGAGCATCCATTTCTTCTCGAGATTCGTCATTTACATTTGTAATTTGATTTTGTTCGGGACTAGTGGATGGTATTTGTGGAAGAAAATTTTCCTCCGTTTGGGGCTTTTGAGTATTTTGTGGATAAGAGGGATTTGAGGAACAGTCCGAGGCAACGTGACCAGCTTGGTGGCATTTGTAACAAGTTAGTTTATCAGAAAGAAAAATTCGGTACGAAATGTTTTCAAAATCAATTAGG